TTTCTTCAAATATTTCCAACTCATCGGATGAACATAATTCTCCACCACCGAAAAGAAAAATGCCGCCACCAGAGAGGAAATGGAAAGAGGGTAGTTTTATCCCAACAATTGAACAATTTACTATTACTCAAAAGATCGTACTTTAAACCGTTTTTAAATAGATATAAACTCATTTCATGTGTTTTAGAATGTAAAAATAAAAATAAAAAAGCTTAATTTCTTTCAAAATTAAGCCGGTCCCCAAAGGGTTAATTAGTGGTGTATAGCTATCATTATCTTGTAAATTAACATTAGCAGTTTTCGAACATAAATATTCAGTTTTAACAACATCTGTACAAAAAATCTTTGATTTACGATATTAGCTGCATAACGAAGTGCTGTTCGTCCAATGTAATTCTTATGATTAATGTTAAAACCATGTTGTACAAACAGATGGATTACATGCGGATTTTAAGGAAAAAATAAAGAATTACTTTGATATTGATCACAGGATTGAACATTTGCTCCTTGCTCAAGTAGTCTTAAACATAAACCACAGCGATTATGTTGAACTGCTATCATAAGACCAGTTTCTTTTCGATCGTTACGTATATTAAAGGTAGGAATAAGTGGTAAAATTCCTATGCATACTTCGACATTTCCTTACATACTTAAATAAACGAATTTTCTAAATAAACAACCTTCTGCGCCTAGTGCGAATGTATTTATTGAAGAGTGATTTTGTGCGAAAGTGAGACAGGTGTCATGATAAGCCATTCCTGAATTTGGCTGATTTAAGATGACCGCTACGAACCCAGTAAAATCTGAAAAAGTTATGTTTACTGCGGCGACAGAACTGATATACTGCTTGCCAATTACGTCGGTACTAGTACTAATCATTCATTGAAGAAACTAAACCTTTTCATTTGTCTTATAGACTCCTTTTTACTTTTACTTAAAGTATGAGTGGAAATTGCCAATCCAATTGTATATTTTAGCATCCGAGGTCCCTATCTGCTCAATATTCAATGTAGTGTTCACGTTCATTCCAAATATCTTGTTACAACCAAGAAGTCATTTTAGCTTTAGTATCAGGCAACCTCATGTATATTGCACGAAGAGCACATCATTATGCAGCTAAATATCGTAAATCAAAGATTTTTGCATAGATGTTGTTACAACTGAATATTAATGTTCGAGAACTGCTAATGTTAATTTACAAGATAATGATAGTTATACACCACTATAATTAAATGTACTACATCCACTGAAAACTGTTCAGAAAAAAATTTAATGATTACACCTATTATACAATGCCATACTTTAATTAAGTATAAAGCAGATATCAACATACGAGATAATAATGGTTATACAGCTGTATTTCACTCAATGCTATTTACACATTTCACAACGATTAAACATTCAGGTCCCGCTAAAAAAATGGCGAGAAAAAAGAAAAAGCTTTTCCACTCGCACAAATGCGCTTCGAGCATTTATTACGAGCTCGGTCTCTTCGTGTGTAGTGTACAGAAAAACGCAACTCAAACTTTCATGACTTCAGACTAGCAGGTAAATAATTCTCACGTTTTGTAGTTCATCGATACCGCTGTAAAGGTAGTTGTGCCACAAAAAATGGTGATAACCACAAAATGTGAATCTCGAGCGACGTTTTTGAAAAAATGGTGTGACGTCGATATAAACCCCAACGTCTAAATTGCGATCTGAGCGAACATTTGCTTCATGCTTTCATCAACCGTTTCCCATTCACGATCCATTGGTCGCCAGTCACACTCCACAACTAAATTTCAAGAAAGAATGGTGTTCACATTATGTGGAAAAACTGGATGAGAAAGCGCAAGCACAAACAACACTATATCCACCGAATAGCGATTGTTCATACAGCCAAATGTTTGAAAATTGGATTACTAGAGCAGGTTAGTGCACTTTAACGAATTTTGTGCATAAATTTATTTTGTGTTCTCCTTTTTACTAGAACGTCCTCCACTAATGCAAAAACAGCAAGCTCTGAAAACTGCTCAGATGGCTCTTCATGAATTAACTAATCCTGAGCCGGATGCCTCAACAATCATGGATCCAGATACTCGATGGAAAACCAGCTGTCACTCAAATCAAATATCAAGGAGCAGCCATAACAACAAACATCAACAGTCAAATAGGAATAGTGTTCCTTGCAACTACTCCAGTTCCTCCTCTCTGCGAACTCGCCCAACGTTATCACAACATCGATTTTCTTCTTCCAATTCATACGTGTACTAATTGTTAATTTTTATTAATGTTTGAATGTTTAGTTTGTGTTTCTCATTTTTTTCTTTCATGATTTTGTTAAATAAATAGTAAAATAAATTACATTTATTTTCTAATTAGGACTGTTACTTTAGTTTTATTGTTCATTTATAATAATGGATAAATATAAAGAATCATTTACTCTTATAAAACAAAGATAAATTCGTCATTTATATTTAAAAAATCAATATAAATAAATGAAAACAAAGTTATCTTTATTTTATAAAAGTAAATGATTCATTTATATTTATTTCTACATTTATTTTTAACAGTAAAGGTAGAAATCAATATAAATGAATCATTAACTTTTATAAAATAAAGATTTTTTAAATATAAATAATTCATTTACATTTATTCTCTAAAGTTTCACTAAATTAACACCTCTATTTCTAATCACTATGCTGAATCGGGAACTTGGCAAGATTTAGATTAGTATCACTGGGAATTCTCTAAAAATCTTAAAAGTAAAATGGTTAAATAAAAACTTTCGACTTATCAACGGAATTGTTGAGATAATGAAACAGAAAAGAAGTGTCTATATTTTTCATGAACGTGATAGAAATAACATATACAACAAATAATTTGTAATGTGAATAAAAGAAGCTGAGTTAACAAAGTAACCAGATTTGCTATAAAATAAATCCAGGCTTATATGTACTATGAATTAATCAATTAACATATGCACCGCTTATACATATGTGTAACATACTTAATCTGTAAAATAAAAAATGTACAAATCTCATTCTACTCAGCTGCTCTGCGAACAAAAAAGATAAACCATGTTACAACTCCATATGCACAACCTTGAAATGTATGCACTGTAAACTTGAAACTCAATTATAGAAAATAAAAACGATTTTCGGTTTGTTCACATGCGAATTCAGCAGCGATTTTCTACTTTCTTGAAAACGTGGTTTTTTTAGTGGGACCTGAATATTTAATCGTTGTGAAATGTGTAAATAGCATTGAGTGAAATACAGCTGTATAACCATTATTATCTCGTATGTTGATATCTGCTTTATACTTAATTAAAGTATGGCATTGTATAATAGGTGTAATCATTAAATTTTTTTCTGAACAGTTTTCAGTGGATGTAGTACATTTAATTATAGTGGTGTATAACTATCATTATCTTGTAAATTAACATTAGCAGTTCTCGAACATTAATATTCAGTTGTAACAACATCTATGCAAAAATCTTTGATTTACGATATTTAGCTGCATAATGATGTGCTCTTCGTGCAATATACATGAGGTTGCCTGATACTAAAGCTAAAATGACTTCTTGGTTGTAACAAGATATTTGGAATGAACGTGAACACTACACAGTTTTGAAGTACCATCCCTTCTCCGCCATGTTTTTCAATATTAGAAAATCTTTGACTTTTTCATAGAACGTCTCTGTGGTTCCCACAGGAAATTAATATCGACATATCGGATTGCTAGCAGCTGCAACACTTAACGATTCCAGAATCTTTCTTTCAGAAAAGAGAACAATAAAGAATCAAATTGAAGAAAAAAAGATACATAAAAAGCACGCAAACTAAAAAGACTATGAAAACTTCGGTGAACTAATTTATTGTTAGTCAGACAAACTATTATTTTCTACAAAATCTACTCAAACACATGTTTATTATCTTTTATAAAATCTTCAACACTCTTCAAATTCAACTCATGCTCCTTCTTCAACGCTTCAACATCAACCAAAAAGTTGTTGTTCTCAATCCATTGTACCATTAGACGAGATGATTCATCTCTTGGCTTCATTTTCTCATATTTCATTGGTCGCCCGAGCACTTTGCTGAATGTTTGAGATAGTTGGTGTCCGTTCATTTTGTCAGCAGCTAGTTCAATCGATTGACGATCGTACTTTTCAGGATTGAGAAATGCTTGTGCTAGGATAGAGAAACGAAGAATTAGAGCGCCTGGCTAAAACCAAAGGAAGGTGAACCTTCACCCGCAAGCTTTCCTATATCTTCACATGCGATATGTTGCACAACTGTCTGCGGATCAGTCCAAAAGTAAATCTTCTCTTTTTCATGACGAGTAGCGAAGAAAAGATTTTCCATGAATGAAAAAGGTCGTAGAATTGTGTAGTGTTTAATGGAGGACTGCTTGAGATATTCTTCAATGAGAAACTTGCTGTGAAAGTGTGGGACGTAAGGTGCATCGTGTGCTTGACCAACACTATAGAGGAAGGAGAAAGAGAAGTCCATTCAAGTCTGATATTACATAACATGACGAATTCTCGAGCTCACCTTGAGTAGACAACCTGTTCAACACCTGCCTTTTCAGCTGCATTGATGATCGTACGTCCTTCTTCCACTTCTTTGTCTGAGATAGCTTGTGCGACGAAGAGACCATCGGCACCTGCCAATTGAAAGAAAACGGAGCTATAGGAGTTCTTGAAATTTATAAGTACTAAAGACAAAATCACCTTGAAGCACTATCGCTAACTGATCGACGGTCACTTCGTCTAGATCAATTTGCACCAATTCAACTCCACGCTCTTTCAATTCGAGAGCTTTTTTCGCCTGTGGATTACGCGTGAGTGTGGCAAGGTAGAGTGACGGTGCAGATTTTGATGACAAGAGAGCATTGATTACAGCTGAACCTTGTTTTCCAGTGCCGCCGATGATGATGATTTTACGTTGTGTTCGCTGCGACGACATTTTTTTTCTAGTTTATATAACGAAGTATACTCTGATTTTTGTCTTTCGTTTATTTTTAGATTCACTGAGCCATTTTACGCACATTTATTGTATTTCTCCGTTACAGGTAAAAAAGAAAAGAAAAAAAAGGAAGCGGTGTACTGCATGAGCGTAACACGTTTTATCAAAAAAGGTGAAGTACAAGTCACATCATTAATATTTTCAACGAACGTTCGTTATTCGAATAACGTATTGCGAGAAACTGGGTGTTGTACAAAATTTTAAAAGCCTTTGTACTTTCCGAAATTCTAAAAATGGATACAGATTCAAGTCAGTGGAAACACATTCGACAATGGCCTGTTTGTTTAAAGGGTACATATTCACAGAAAACATAAGCACGTGGCACATAACCCATCTTTTCCCCAACTCTTAGAACCAGTACTCTATACTCGTTCTTCGACAGAATTCACAAGAAAATCTATTATAGTTGAAACATACAGTGTTTGTGAGTGAGCAGAGGTGTGAGCTTGGCTAAACGTACTTTACTTTGGATCACCATAGTTCAAAACATTCTTGGTTGAACAATGACTTACTCGCAATATAATAAAAAATATAGACAAGGGAGATCATATGATGAAAATTAGTCTTTCGGATAAAACCGTTTACATAGACGCCTTAGTACAACATCGGCTACATAAAGCTGTCGTTTTCCAGATAAGAAACATATATATATAATAAGTGTGACATACCAGATGGTATATATACAGTTAGAGGGAGTGTCCTCTCGGTTCGTCCCAAGTTGCCTTTGTCAGATCAAACAACATCAAAGGGGTGGGCAGGTGTGAGGGTGTGCAATTTGGGACGAACTGAGAGTAAACCATTAGAAAGTAAACGACTATGAACTCATATAGATTTTGAAGAACATACTCAGTGTGTTGATGTCGGAGTATTTGACAAAAATATTCTGGTATAGAAACGCACGGTGAATATTAGAACAGATTCTGACGTAGTCTGTCATCTAGCAACAGTACAAGAAAAGACACAATTGATGTTGATGATATACGTTGAAATAAGTAGAGCTCTCTTTGCTACTCATATTCATAGACAATCAATTATGCAACAGGTAAACACAAAAAGGGAAAAGGGTATAAAAGCTATAACAAGTATAGTTGGCCATTGTTTTTCTTTACCACTTTATAGTGTACTTATCTATCTTTTACTGTAAACATCTCGGTTGTCATACATATATAGTCCAAACTGAGATTGGACTAGGCCAATCCAGGATTGGACGTGAAAGTGAGTAGGCCAATCTCAGTTTGGCCTGAATCGGAGTATGGACGCCCACATATATGTCACAGGATATAAACATTGAAAAGATATAAATCGTCTTGTATGATGTTTTCTTTTTTTATATACTACGCGTACATTCAAGTGTATGACTATTCGTTCATAAAAAGAATGATACTCGGTATTTTTGAATAACCTCTTAACGGTGAGAGTTAGAACCATGCGGTTTTCAGCATTCGATAGAGGAGATGATGAGAGGTGAAACTGGAAAAATCAGGTCTTCGTATCAGGTCTACCATGGTAAACCATGCTGTGCAAAGTCCGAAGTCTGTCCATTTCCAAGCAAAAAAAGGATTCTTAATTTTGAAATGTTTTTTCTATCCCCTGAAGTGCGCTCTTTAAAACTGCACAAGTCCCGTCTCTGTCTCTTTTGGTTCAACAGTTACAGGCATTTTTTGAGGACCTACCTATCCTTCTTAGTTTT